GTGCTGAGGAATCGAACCCAGGGCCTCAGGCATGCAAGGCAAGCGCTCTACCACTGAGCCACCTTCCCAGCCCAGGAAAAAGTTATTTTCATCAGGGTATATTCTTTAAGACAATGATAAAATTACATTCCTTGACTGTGACTACAAGGGCTTATGATGAGATCACAGGCAGCAAAACCACCTCAGCTGTGCTGGATTTGAAGTACTGTCACAGAAAAGCACAGAGAAGAGCATTTATATAGATTTGAAAGAAATTTTGTAGCTGGATGCTGGTGGCTCAGGCCTATAATCATACCTACTCAGGAGACTGAGATCTGAGGATCACGATTCAAAGCCAACCTAGGCAGGAAAGTGTGTGAGACTCTTTTTTTTTTTGGTCCAGTCACAGGGCCTGAACTCTGGGCCTGGGCGCTGTCCCTCAGCTCTTCAGCTCAAGGCTAGCACTCTACCACTTGAGACACAGCGCCACCTCCGGCTTTTTTCTTTTTGCTTATGTGGTGCTGAGGAATCAAACCCAGGACTTCATGCATGCAAGGCAAGCACTTTACCGCTAAGCCACCTTCCCAGCCCAAGACTCTTATCTCCAATAAACTACTCAGAAAAAAGCCAGAAGTGGCATTGTGGCTCAAGTGGTAGAGTGCTAGCCTTGAGAGAAAAAGAAGCTCAGGGAGAGTCCAGGTCCTGAGTCCAAGCCCTAGGACTGGAAAAAAAAATTCTTTGAGCAGAGTTACACTAAGTAGACCAGGATGACCTTGAACTTGAGATTCTCCTGCTTCTTTCTTTAGCTTGATGACTACCAGTTTGTACCTCTAGTACTGTGATGTCTGAGAGAAACAGTACGTTTTCCATGCCTTCTACTGTACCTCTAATGTAGAACTAAGAACAGAAAATAGAAAATAGTCTGTCTTGTACTTTATTTATTCAGAATGACACTGGGTTATAGTGAGCTAAGTATTTACTTGTGTTTAGATTTGTGCTCCCTTTTACATTCTACTCCACAAAAATGAAACTTATTCTTTTTCAGGACTCTGGATCCCGAAATTGGACAGTGTGAGAATTGCATATACACTCAGGGGGGTGTTCAATCTGAGGCTTTGTATAGCTCATCGTATAAGTTGATTTTTCTGTGCATTTGTATTGGGGAGGATCCAATTCAGGTTGATGTCCTGGGAACCAGCGGGGCTGTCTTTTAAAGCCTGAGGGAAGGAAAGACATATGGAGACTGTAAACAAGAAGTCTGATAATTGATCTCATTCTTTTTTCTTTGTTGTTGGTGTGGGGAGTGAACTTGGGGCCTGGGTGCTGTCTCTGAGCTCTTTGTGCTCAGGGCTAGCACTCTATCACTTTTAGACACAGCTTCACTACTGTTTTTCAGATTGTTAATTGGAGGTAAGTCTCACAGACTTTCCTGACTGGACTGACTTTGAACTGTGATCCTCAGAACTCAGCCTCCTGAGTATTTAGGATTACAGGCATGAGCCACCAGTGCCGAACTTTTATTCTTTATTTCTTAGAGATGAAACAGCAAGTTCCTCCAAAAATTGAGGGAAAAAATGGTTCACTTATTTATTTGGTTGTTTGTTTATCGGTCGTGGGGCTTGAACTCTGGGCCTGGGCACTCACTGTCCCTCAGCTCTTACAGCTCAAGGCAAGCTCTCTTGAGCCACAGCGCCACTTCTGGTTTTCTGGTCGTTTATTGGAGATAAGAGTCTCACAGACTTTTCTGCCCAGGCTGGCTTTGAACCCTCAGATCTCAGCCCCGAGTAGCTAGGATTACAGGTGTGAGCCACTGGCGCCCGGCAAATGGTTCACTTATTTACCACTCATTCAGTTGACTTCTATTTAAGTTCCCCCTATGTGCCAAGCACTGAATTCAGTGCTGAGAATGTAATAATTGGATTAGTCCACCTACTTTGTGTTGAAATTGGCATGTTGATGTTGTAGCTTGCATCATATGTTGTTTCAAAGTAGTGTCCAAACTGGAAAGAAAAATTAATGGATTAAGAATCTAGGAGTCTTCAGCTAATATCAGAAAATGGACAAGAGAATAGACATGAATTCTAATAAGCTTTGTCATATTTGAGACAGTCTAAGTATATATATGTTGTTGGTCTGTATCTTACTTCCATTTTTTTTTTTGTGCCAGTCCTGGAGCTTGAACTCTGGACCCTGAGCTTCTTTTGCTCAAGGCAAGCACTCTAACACTTGAGCCACTGTTCCACTTTCAGCTTTTTTGAGTAGTTTATTGGAGATGAGAGTCTCAGACTTTCCTGCCTGGGCTGGCTTTGAACCATGATCCTCAGAACTCAGACTCCTGAGCAACTAGTATTACAGGTATGAGGCACCAGTGCCCAGTTTCTTTCATGTCATTTTTATGTTTAGGAAATTTAAGAGCAAGTGTCTAGCCTAGGTAGGGAAGAAACAAAGAGGACAACCTGAGTCAGAAAACATTACAACTTTCTGTAGATTCAGAGGTGAAGTAGAAAGAGAAGCAAGAAGAAAAGGAAACTACCCATTCTTTCCATAGATAACCACCTGACAATAAAGTAGGATGGTTGGACTGAAGACTGCTCCCCTCCCCCCTTGAGTGAAAAATAGCCTAAAAAAGTCAATTCTAGCCTCTCAAATGGCCACTGGCTTTTCTTCTGTTAACAGAAAGAAACAAGACAAAGACAGATTACCTGGGAAGGCAAAGGTTTGGGCATTACAATATTCTTCAGGTCATATCTTTCTTGGTTCCAGTTGCCCATCAGAGTACGGTTCGAATATGAATTCTCATTAGTGGTGCATCTCCATCCATACTGGGAAAACTTTGACATATTATTCCAATCTGTCCATATTTCACCATGACCATCTGCATAAATGAGGCTTCCATAGTGTGGGTTTGTGAGGAAACATACAAGGTCCTGTCTCTGAAAAAAGGCATACATCCTTATTGTACAAAGAATAGAAAAGGCATCGTTTCCTACCTCTCCTTATAATGGAAGGTGTAACACAAGCACACCTTAATATCACTCTAGGCTTTTTCCAAATATATTAGTTTGTAGTTCTGGGATTTGAACCTAAGGTCCTGAACTTGAATCTATTACTTCAGTCACCTCAGTTATTTTTCAGATACCATCTTGTGTTTTTACTTCACGACAACTTTATTCATAGGTAATGCTCCTACCTGTGCATTCTAAATACTTTGGATAAACAGGCATCCCCTACCATGCTTGGTTTATTGATAAGAGATGTCAGCTGGCTCTGAAACACAATCTCCTCCATCTCTGTGTCCTGACTAGCTGGGATTACAGTTGTATATCACTGAATCTGATTCCAAACTTAATTTGCAGTAAACTTGATTTGTTGATCTATTGCATACAGTTTGGACCAAGTGCAATCACTTTTTTTTTTTTTTTTGTCAGTCGTGGGGCTTGAACTCTGGGCCTAGGCACTGTCCCTAAGCTCTTCAGCTCAATGCAAGTGCTGTACTGTGTGAGCCACAGTGCCACTTCGTTTTTTGGTGGTTAATTGGAGATAGTCTCACGGACTTTTCTGCCCAGGCTGGCTTTGCACTGCGATCGTCAGATCTCAGATTCCTTAGTAGCTAGGATTACAGGCACGAGCCACCAGTGCCTGACAAGTGCAATCAATTTTTAATTGAAAATCTAAACTCCAAAAGGAAAAATTTAAGTCCTCCTATGTACATTATACATATAGTCCCACGTTATCATCAGTTGTATTTAAGTTGTGTGATCTGCTATTTCCTCCCCTTAATTTTGTGAAAATATGCATCCCCTAAAAAAATCGTACCCTAAAAGCAAGACAAAAATGAAGGTTCTTATTGAAGTGATAGATAAAAAAATTTTAAATGTATTCAAAGGCAGCATGTCTTTAGCAGAAGTTGGGTGGTATTAAGCCAAGCATCTGTGGTACAGTACTGAACTGTATGCATCCTGAGTATTTGCAGTTTTTCCTGAGGGTGATCTTCTTGGAAGCATAGCTACTCAAGGCTACAGAGTGTCTATTATATGTGGTTCTCTTCCTTCCCAGGTTCATGCATCCACTGACCTATAATGTCAATAAGCAGTAGTAGTTGGCTATATATCACCATCCCTGATCCCTTGAAAAAGATGAAAAAAAAATTCAGTGTCAGCTGGGTACTAGTGGCACATGCCTGTAACCCTAGCTACTCAGGAGGCTGAGATCTGAGGATCATGGCTTGAAGCCAGCCCAGGCAAATCCAATAAGCTACTCAGAAAAAGCTGGAAGTGGGGGGAGTGGGGAGAGTGGTAGAGTGCTAGCCTTGAGCAGAAAGAGGTTCAGGGACAGTACCTAGGCCCTCAGTTCAAGACCCAGGAGTGGCAAAAAAAAAAAAAAAAAAGAAAAAAGAAAAAAACCACTGTCTTTAATAATATATGAAGAACTAGATCAGTGATTAGGTAATTTTGAGATGTAGGACTTGAGGGACTAAGGATATTGCTATAACGAGAATAACAGTGGGAATCAAGTATCTAGATAACACAATAAAATGATCATTTCCTTTCTTCTAGGCTCAGCTCATAGGGAGTTATCATCACTTTCCTTTTACTTCTAGGACTTCACATCTTACACTGTATTTATACATTTGTAACATACAAATGAGTTCTTAGGCTGGAGGTTCTAGCTCAAGTGGTAGAGTACCTGTCTAGCAAGAACACTGCTCTGAAAAATTTTTTTCAAGTAAATGTTGTATTGAACTTCATGTCCCTTGCAGACAGACCATAATGGCACCCCTTCCCTTTGTCTACAGTCCCAACCAAGTCCATAGTGCTTTACAGATGACCAGTATCTGAACTTCAGTTTGTTTTTGTCAAAGAATCAAAAGCTCAACATTCTTTTTGGGGGTTGGGAAGGTGGCTCAGTGGTAGAGCGCTTGCCTTGCATGCATGAGGCCCTGGGTTCGATTCCTCAGCACCATATAATCAGAAGAAAAAAAAAGCTGGAAGTGGTGCTATGGCTCAAGTGGTAGAGTGCTAGCCTTGAGCTGAAGAGCTGAGGGACAGCGCCCAGGCCCAGAGTTCAGGCCCCATGACCGGACCCAAAAAACAAAACATTCTTTTTGGCCCCCATATATTTCTGGTCCCATTTTTGGAGCAAAGTGATACCTTCCCTGAAGAAGTGTAAGTTGTAAATGTGTAGAAGGAGTCGTCTGAAGATCTCAGAAGACTGTTATAGAAATCCATTAATGACTGTGTCTGTTCCATGTCCAATAAAGATGTTACTAAACCTAATCTTCACAGTTCCCCAAGCAATGAAAGAATGTAGATATTACTATGATCAGATGGTCATGATTTGGGAGTAACAACCCACTGGCCTTTTCATAGGCAGAGACAAGACTAATGAAGCAGTAATGTAGGATGGCATCTCTGTTACTGTTCTCACACCATATGCCTTTGTGAAGATAAGATACAAGCACTGATGTCACCAGACAGCAAGATGACTGAAGTCCCATAAGGCCTAGTGCTCAGACTAGAGACTGAGGTGATGCTGTCCCTAGAGTTAGAATGACAGATTCACTCAGTTGTCCACTCCAGAAGCCTAGGGCTTAACTTTGATTCTCAACTTCTCTGTTACCATTCATTTATTACATATTATTACATATTAACAGGGTCTGTTCGAGAGGCCTGCCTGAACTCTGAGCCTGAGCACTGTCCCTCTCAGCTCTTCAGCTCAAGGCTAGCGCTCTATCACTTGAGCCACAGCACCACTTCTGGCTTTTTTCTTTTTTTTTATGTGGTGCTGAGGAATCGAACCCAGGGCCTCATGCATGCAAGGCAAGCGCTCTACCACTGAGCCACCTTCCCAGCCCGATATTAACAATTTTTTTTTTCAGAAAGTCTTGATTATATGTTGGTCCTGAGGTTTTCTGCTCAAGGCTAGTACTCTACCACTTGAGCCACAGCTCCACTTCTAGGTTTTTAGTGGTTAACTGGAGAATCTCACTGCCTTTCCTGATTCAGCTAGCTTTGAATGGGGAGGCGTGAGCCTCTGTGCCCTTGAATCTTGATTTTTTTTAAAAAATCAGTCCGTTACTCTCTTTACTGCCAAGTTTTAATTCAGGTCACTGTCAGCCTTTGTCTCCCAGGAGCACAAGAGCCCCCTATCTGATTTCTTGCTATTAATTTGGCTTCTCCCCAATTCTTTCTCCAAAATTTTTTGAAAATAAAAGTGCTTGTGTTACCCTCCTACTTAACATCATTTGGTGGCTTTCTACTATTTTCAGAATAAGATTTAGTTTAAAATACATAGCTGGGAATCATCTACAGATTCACCCATAAGTGTGCCTACCTACCAGGAGACAGATATGGAAGGACTATGGTTCCAGGCTAGCCTAGGCAAACAAAATTCAAAATTCTATCAAAAAATAAAGAAAAAAGCTGGGGGACTGGCTCAAGGTAAAGCATCTGTCTAGCAAACTGGAGGCTGTGTGTTCAAATCTCAGTATTCTTTCAGTTTTGGTTACCTACTCTTTCTCTGAGTTTCAGGTAAACTCAATTACTGTGAGTTCACCAAACATTGCACAAATCTTCCCTTCTCGCCTCTTTAGGTATGAATTCAGGCTCACAGAATCTTTGTCCTCAAAATTAGGAAGGTTTCGTCTTTGTGCGTGTGCTGACCCTGGGGCTTGAAGCCACAGTGCCACTTCCGCTTTTTTTTTTTTTTTTTGTTTTTTAGAAGTTTATTGGAGATGGAGTCTCAGGGACTTTCCTGCCGGACTGGCTTCAAACCATGACCCTCAAATCTCAGCCTCCTGAGTAGCTGGGATTACAGGCGTTAAGACACCGGTGCCCAGCAAGGTTTTCCTTCTGCAGGCTTTCCTAGCAGCCTGAGTTATTTCACTCCTAGCAGGGCCCCCCCCCCCCCACACACACATCAGGATCGCCTCTGGAGCCGCGTGCATCCCCCACTGTTGTGTCAGCAGGCCACAACCCGTCCTTCCACAGGTGTAACTGCCTACATCCAGGCTGGGCTCCTAAGGAGCACTAGTTATTTCTTGAATGGACGGACAGAAGGTAGGAGAGGCACCTTGAGAAACTGTGAACAGCAGGGACAGTGCGAGACCGCCATCGCGGACGAGATAAAGGCAGTTACAGAATCCTCGGCTTGAGGAACCACAACAGCCTAAGTTCTGGGCTTCAGTCCCGGCTCCGCTTTTCACTCCGTGACATCATGCAGGTGCGACGAATCCGTTCCGGGTCAGCTATGGACTCCAAGGACATTTTGACCTTTTCCGAGGAGTGTGAAGCGGAGGCGGGCACCACGATTTAGCTCTCATGTCGGTCCTCTCGGGACAGGGGGGTCCCGCAGTTTTATTAAAACGAGAGACGCCGTGCGAGTGTCACCAACCAGTGGCCGGGGTGGGGCGGACGGGGAGGAAGGGGCGGACGTATACGTGAGGCGGAAGTGACGTCAGAAGAGAGCGCCGCGGAGTGCCCGGAGTCCGAAACGAGGCGCATCGGTGAGGAGCTATGGCTCCTCGGCGCCTCCTATTGGTTGGAGAAGGAAATTTCTCCTTCGCGGCGGCTCTGAGCGAGACTCTGGATCCGAACTCTAGACTTATAGCCACCTGCCTCCAGCAACCGGTCGACTTTGCTCACGATCCGGGAACCCGGAAGAATCTACTGCGCCTGCGCGAGCGAGGTGATGGGACTGGCTCCTTCCCCAGGCTCCGCCCAGCTTCTGGCGCCGTTCCCCTCCCTCCTCCCGTCCCAGCCCCCCCCCCCCCCCCCCCCCCCCCCGGTGGAAAGCTGTTGGAACAATGGGATGGCAATGTGCGGGTTGCCCTTGATCATAATAGGAAATCCGCAGGGATTTGTATATTTCTATGAGTTACTATGTGCCCAGACTGGTGTGCAAGGTTCTCCTTGGAAGTTGGTTCCCCCGCCCCACCACCCTGATTTCAGATCTTAAGACATCCTTTTGTGTATTTTTCTCACCCTCAAACTATCTTTGCCAGGTACCGAGGTGCGATTCGGTGTGGACTGCACCCAACTGGCAAATGCCTTTGAACCACAGGACAGGGACTTTGACCGAATTTATTTTAATTTTCCTCACTGTGGACGCAAAGCTGGAGTAGCTAAGAACAGGCATCTGCTTGCCAAGTTTTTCCAGAGGTGAGGGAAGGGGAGACGAGTAAAAGTTGAAGATGTACATAGTTACCACATGCAACCATGTAATAAAGCACACTTAGTGTGAATTAGTATATTTGGAGAGACTATAAAACCCCAAAGGAACTAACTTCTTGGAGTATAAAGGGTTGCTTATTTTATTATCACAAACTAGTAACAGTCAGTACAGTCAGAAGGGCAATAGCACAGAATTAGGATCCAGATTGTCAGGATTCAAATCCTGCCCATAGCTTAGTTGTTACAACTTTAAGCAAGCTTAATTAATCCTTAAGTATTTGTCTTCTCATCTGAGATACAGTATGAACAGTAACTGCTCCATAAAATGATGCTCACATAAAATAGTGCTATAATACGTTATGCCAAAATAGGTGATTCTGTTGGAGGTCTCCATTGGGTGTCATAGTTGTTAAACCTTTCAAAGAGGCAGTGTTTTAAGCTAGTATATAAAAAATACAGAATTTTGATAGGAAGAAGCTGGGGGGTAGGGTGGGAATGAGCCTGTTGCCGGTGACTCATGGCTGTAGTCCTATTAAAAGGCTGTGACCTGGAGGATCCCTGTAAGACTCTATCTCCAGTGAACAAGCAAAATGCTGGACTACAAGACAGCAAATACTTATTTTCTTAAATAACTCACTGCAGAGAATTGACCTTTTAGTGACATAAAGAAGAGGGACTAAAGAAGCAAAGCAATGATGAATATTATTGGGTGCATAAGCATACTTTGTATGTTGGAGGTTTCATAGACTTTTGCAAGTATGTTTGGGTTTTAATTATTTCTCAACTGAACTGTGTGTAATGCTACATCATATGGTAATTTCAACCTGTTCCTGATGAGCCCCTGGGGTTTTCCACTCTATTAGCTGTGCAGATGTTCTTGCAGAGGAAGGAGAGGTGCATGTGGCATTGTGTAAAGGACAAGGTGGAACCCCAGCTGATAAGCCCCAGAGAGAATGGCACAACAGTTGGCAAGTGGTTGCCATGGCAGCTCTGGGGGGGCTTGTTTTAAGTGATGTGCATCCCTTCAGCTGTGAGACTGTGCCAGGGTACAAGTGCACTGGATATAGGTAGGTAGACTTTTCCTTTGTCACCTCTCTCACTAGTGATAAAAAAATCATTTTTTTCCTAACAATTTTCTGATTCCATACAGATATACTTTTTAAAAAAAAATAATGACAGACTTCCTCCCTGCTGCATCTTTCTTTTTTTTTGCCAGGAGTCAAGATAAGTCCTTTCATGTAGAAGGTGCGTTGAATCATATCTTTACCCGGAGTTTACCCTTTGAAGTTTCTCAATCCAGAATTTTCAGGTTCAAACTGGGAGACCAGTGGTTTTCCTTTCTAGAACCAGAAGCACTTGCAGGAAAGCTGAACAGGTAACCTACTATTTTTGCTGAAAATCACCTCCATCTCTAGTTGAATTGTGATTATCTTGATGAAAATCATAATTTGAATGCATAGTACATAAATTATCAATGATGTTGGTGCTATGAATACTTGTCAGTCTGGCTTATTGTTAGATTTGTAGCTACCAAAGTATAGGAATACATATTATTTCTCCTGGGCCCTGGGTGTAGCTGGGTAGTAGAGCTCTTGCTTATCTACCACGCCCTGGACTTGACCTCCAGCATTACTGTTTTTTTTGTTTATTTGTTTTTTGCAGAGGGGCTATATTTCTTCTTATGGTATGTGGCTTTTTGTTTGTTTCTTTTTAAGGATCAATTTAAGGGTAATTGCTCACCACATAACCATTTGTTTTTAATTCTAGCTACATTATACTTACTATTTTAAGTGAGAAAAGTTATTTTCTATGTCTTTGAACAGGAATTTCCTGGAAGCATCTTCATGTCATCCTACTAGAACTATAAATGAAAAAATCATTGCTGAATTGGGCACAGCCTTCTCTGTAAAAAGGTTGAAGTGTTCCTTCCCTTTATTGCCACAGAGTGACACCAGCGTTCTCCCTTCTGAGATCTATGACCTTCGATCTGTCTTTTGGATTAGTCTCTGTGAAGATAACTCAAATGATGACTCCCTGACTGGTGAAACAGTACAAGCAATGGAGGACCTTCTAGTTACATTTTCAGAACTTAGCTTTCCTAGGCGTCCTAGAGGAGATGGTAAGGAAGAAGCTCATGGGGGAACCTATGGGCAAGTCAAGCTGTGCCTTAGGTCTTCTCTTCTAGTTTATGCTCAAGCTGTCATCCAAGCACCAGACTTCCTTTCAGGTTCTCTGCACATCCTCAGCGGACCTGTGTTTCGGAAGTGCCATATTTTGCCTTTTACAATGCCAGCATTTCATGAAACTTTATTTATTCTTGGGTTTAATAAAAATCTGAAGGATAGCTGTCTTTCATTACTTCTGGATCTCCTGAAGAGCATTCTGGATAGACTTCTAACTCAGACATTGCTAGAGGGCTCTAAGCTGAGCAGATCAGTGGAATTTGTCCTCCAACCAAATGGAAAAGATTGTATGATTCATGTGAAGTCTCATAATTTTGGTCAGGACTATGACAAGGATTTGATTATTGGGTCTGTCACCATCATATCTGCAATGAGCATTACACATGAAGAAGATCAATGCTTTGTGTTGGTGTCTATAAACTTGGACTTATTAACCATGCTTGTTTGGGGTATCTCTGATTGGAGAATATTGTGGACCTTTGATAACCGTTTCCTGAAAAGTTTTGTTCCAGGGAAAGTAGAACCCTTTAAAAGTTATTCCTTATATCCTCCATGCTATGTGCATGATATTAGTTTTTGGTTAAATGAAGAGCAAGGATTTGATGAACTGGAGTTTCACACTGTGGCCCGAGCAGTGTCCCAGGACACTATTGTATCCATACAATTCCTTGGTCGTTTTCAGCATCCAGAGACTGAGAAGGTTAGTCTCTGCTATAGATTGACCTACCAGGCCTGTGATAAGGCCCTCACCAAGCAGCAGGTGGCATCAATGCAGTTCCAACTTAGAAAAGAGATTCAACAATTACATGTTACACTTCGATAGGTTCATCAGTCCTCCACTGGGATAGATGAAAAAGAACAACTTGCAACTAGTAATCCTTTCTGGAATCTTTTTAATATTATTTTTGTAATAAAAACTTTTTCTTTGTGACTGTAGCATTGTTGATTGACTCTAAATATACCCATGACTCTTATAAACTGTAAGAGGTGATTTTGTACAACTGACCCTTTGGAGTTGCACAGAATTTTGATCCTGAGTAATGACCAAAACAAACAAAACAGTGTCTTCTATTTTAGATGCCCAGTTGCTGAAGAGGCAATAAAACCTGAATAAATCATTAATTACATTCATTTTCCATATTGTCAGTTTCTTCACCTTGACCCCGGTCATCTCAAAATCAATTTATGACAGTGTGTTTTGGAATTAGAACAATTTTTGCCTTGGTAAATTACAAGTGCTCCATGGTTGGTATTATCCTGGCACATGTTCTCTGTGATTGAGCTTTAGTAAAGTCACGGAACTAATCATACCTGATTTAAGGTTATTTACTTCTGCTTCCAGTCTTTAGCAGGCAATGAATAAATGAGCTACATACAAGCTGGATGCTTGAATTTGGTAACTAATGGCTGCAAGTGGGAACTGAGCAGTATGATCGATGTCCATTTTAATATTTTGGAAGGTTTAATCCGAAATTATAATCTGGAGTCCTTCCTGTCAAGTTCAGTGCTCCTTTCATGGTTTGTTACTGTACCAAGCTCCACTAGGAAGGACAGACTCAAGATTAGAAGAATGAATAGCTTCTATTCACTTAGTCATTTTCTATTATCTGTGCCTTGATTTAAATAGAGGACTGGAGTCAGGATTGTAGTCAAGTGAGTAGGAAACGCGAAGGAAGAGCATTAACTGGAGAAGTAGCCCGGGGCTCTGCGTCGGCGCCTTCGGGCCTCCAGGACGCGAATCGCGCCGGTTCTGCGCATGTCGGAGGATTTTTGTCCCTCGGCGGACCCCGTTTCCCGGCTAGCGATGTCTGCGCCTCCGCCGGCTTCCTAGAGCGCCGGGCTCCACCTTCTGCCCCTCACGCTGCCATGGCGAGCCGAGGGGCTCGGCAGCGTTTGAAAGGCGGCGGGGACCCGGCTCCCGCCACCAAGAAGCTACGGAAGCAGCCGGCCAGCCGGGAGGCGGGCG